GCCATAGTGTATGGACTAGAAAGTGCCCCTTAAGTTATGAATTTTGGGTGAATTTTAGAGAGAGAAATCAGAGAACACATAAAAGGAGAAAAGAAGAAAGGTTGTTGTGCTAGGGCAAGAGATTTCAGAGTGGTGGAAGGTGCTTCTGATCAGTAACTTAACAGGTAAGCTACGTATAACTCTTACCTTCCATTCTACCCAAATTTCTCATAATATGAGTTATAAAGAAATTGAATCGGTGAAATTTTAGGGATTTGATTCTTTCCCAATAGCAATAAAAAGGTTCATGAGAGTTAAATTAAAGTCTTGCGACTGGTTTAAAGCTGAATGATAGAGCTTTGATCTCGTAGGCTCAATTTGGCCATAAATTAAGAGGAAATTAAGGTGAAAATCTTGTTTTACTAAAATGAGACCAATTGAGGTGATGTAAGGTAGTAATCAAGTAGTAATAGACCTATAATGGATAAATGAAAAAGAATAGATGGCTAAATATAGCCATAAGTAGTAATTATGTAGTTTTGGTCAAAATGAACCAATTGACTAAATTATGCCAATTGTGTTCAGATTGGCATATCAAGCATGTGACTTGAGAAAGGAAGCTTGTGATAAGCTATAGTGGTGGTTGAAATCCACAGGTAACCTTTCTAGTGATAAAAAGGTTAAGGTAACTAAATAACTTCCTCTATTTTGCTATTTGTTGTAACTGTGTGTAAGTATGCTATGTAGTGCATAAATGGTTTTCATTGCACAACTCTTTCCTTGATGTCCTTTGTGTTTCTTATTTTGATCCTTAAGAGGGGAGAAAATAGTACAGTATGAGGAGAGGTACTCATGCTATAAATGCTGTATCTAGATGAGTTATTGAGGAGGAGTGGGAGCTTAAAGTTCAACTGGTCTAGCTGTGAAGGGATAGGCATGATGAGCTACTAGAGGAGCTCAGAGATATGGTGGTAGATATAAGGCAGATGGTTAGGGATTATGATACGATCTTAAGAGATAGAGAATAAAAGGAGAGAGTTGAGGCTTAAGATGTTCCAATACATGAGGAAGCACACAGTAGACCTAGACCATCTTAGGGTTCCAGTAGTTGGCAAGAGATTCCTGGCATCGATCTATTAATTGATCGTGCTTGGAAGATGTTTGCTTGGTTCAACTTGCCGACTTTCGATAGTAATATGAAAAAGGAAGAAGCAGAACTATAGATTGAGCGGTTAGAGACCATCTTTGAGGTGGTTATTTTTACCCCTGAGTATAAGGTTATCCTAGCCATGGTATAGCTAGTTAGTACTACCAAGAGGTAGTGGGAGTCTGTAAGGCCTTTGGGTGGCATTCAGTTGAGTTGGTATGATTTTAAAAAAGTTCTTTTTGATCAGTATTTCCCAGTCTCATTCAGAATTGAGAAGGTGATAGAACATATTTGTTACCCACTTTTATTTGTTAATTAGGACTCTTTTATTAATGATTTATCACCTTTAAGTGCACACATTGCATTATATTTGGAAATTTTGCCTAAGTTTCTAAGTTTAGTGCATTAGGGGTATTTTGGTCGAAAAATAAATTTTTGAGAAAATGTACAAGAAAAATTAAAATAGTTCATTTTATATCCAGTTGATAAGTGGTCAAATTATATTTTTGAAATTTATTTTAGTTTGAGAGTAATTAAATAAAAAAATCAACACTTTCTTAAGTGTCTTAGTTCGACCTATTTTTCAGTTTGCCTTTGTGTGAAAATTTTTATATAATTTTGTACAGCCTAAAACTTGATTATTTTAATAAATTATTCCTTCTAATTATGAATTTAATTCTGGACATTAATTAGATTTTATTATATCACATGCTATTTAATTGAATTATATGATTTATGTGACATAGGTGGCATGTGACTTGTGTATCAATTAGGCAATTGAAGTCAACATTCCTTGAGGTCAAAGCTGATGGTTTACATATGAGTTAGGCTTTATTAGGGGATTAAATTAGCTAAAAAATGTGGACGACACATGAAAAATTACACACACATGAGAATCATCTACCAACCAATAGGAGGTTGCCACCTTACAAGTGTAACAAGGCTCCCATTTTCTTTTTTATCTCCTTTTCTTACTTTTTAATTAGGATCAACTGATGGGAAATACCTTGAGCATGCCATTCAGCCCCCCCAATTGAGATCCAAGACCCATTCACTCATCTCCCACATTTTCTTTCACTTGTTCATAATGTTCTTCATGTTTTCTTAATTCTCTCCCTACACTTCCACTCTCTCTCCTTTATATCTCTCAATCTAACCATCCAAATTTAACCAAACCACCACCATTCTCTTCCTCCCTTCCTCCTCTACAAAACCTAATAACTTTCATAAGGATAAAACCTTGTTTGATTTAGGCAAAATTCATGCGAAAAAGAGCTAAATTTTTGGAGCTTCAACTTGGAGATTGCTTGAAGATGCAAAGATAGATTCTTGAAGGGGCTTGTATATAGAGGAGGAAACCTCGAGTTTGTATTATTTTTAAGTTGGATTTGAATTTCTTCTCTCTACTTTTCTCTCTCTATAATTACACTTTGGGAGATGGCTTTTGCTACTTGAGTTTTGTTACTTTGAGCTTTAGATTCTGGCCTCTTCAAGTTGATTCATAATCTTAGTTAGCTTGATGAGTTTAACATGTTTTCTTGCTTGTCATAATCTTGCCAGCTTGAATGCATGTGAATATCTTCATGAATCATAATCTTGAGCATGTTGATTCTATCATATGTGCTTGATCTAATTGACTCATGTTTGTAACACTTTGGTTGGGCTTAATGCTTACTTTGCTTTGGCTCACTCTAAGACCATAATCTTGGATTGGGGTTAGTCAGGGTATTAGCTAAGTCTTGGTTAATATAACTAAGTCACTAAAACAAAAGAGAAGAGAGAAGAAACAAAACTAGCTAGGTTGTAATCAAACAAGGATAGGTGACCAATTTCACATAGGAGTTCCTACTTTTAATAAGTTTTCACACATCCACTTAATTCACTTTAAAATTAGGTTTAACAACTTAATTATTTTTGAGTTTAAATCTATCCCAAATACCTTTTAACTTATAACACACTTCAAACCTAAATTTCCAACTAAACCTCGTCATAGAGATCAACCTAGGTTCACAATAGTACTACATTAGTATAGCTTAGTATTATTTTGCTAGGGTAGCGATAACCTTAGTCAAAATTTGGCACCGTTACTGGGGAAGTAAGGCTAGGATTTGTTTAGGGTTGATTTGTGTTTAATTTGTTAATTTTCGTGATTTTTGGTGTTTTTGTGAAGTTTGGGTTACGAAGGGTGCAACTTTGTGAAAACTGATTTCCTAGCTTTCTTGGATGAAATTTGAAAATTCCTTGGGAACTTCTCTATTAGGGAAAGAATCTAAAACTTTGTACACAAAAATATGTATATCGTATCTTTTGAACAAAAGTGGTTTGGTATCATTTGGATTTGTATACTGTACTCTGTGAATTTTTGAAGCACATAAGGTCAAATACACTTTTCTGGAGATATCTAGGACTCTGTATCAACTTTGTGTGCCCATAAATTTTTCTGTATGTATCCAAATTTTTCCATCCAAAGCTCAAATTGCTCCTCAGTATTTTAGCTTCATTTTTTCTGTTTTTGATTTTTTTTGATTCTGCTACTAACCTATTTGAAACAAGTGACAAATCTTGTAGGGTCAATTTGGAAGAAATTCTGTTTCCAGATTTCAGTAGCCCGAATTGCAAGAAAAACTGGGAAGTATCATCTCATTCAAAAATTCTGAAATTTTTATATATTGTTTTTAAGTATCTTTCCTAAGTAAAATTAAATTTTCAGATCATTTTGTCATGGGAATTGATCTGTAGAAATTGCACAAGCAGACTAGGCAGAAAGCAGAGTTCCAAAACGTCCAGTTTTGGAAGAAGACTCTTCTTTAGCATTTCTAAACTCTTCCTTTGCTTGTTTTAGTGCTGAATTCACTTTTTTATTTTATTTAAATTTGTGTTTGAGTTATTTTTTAGCTTTTCTCTAATTTTAGAAAACAAAATATTACTTTTCTCTCTTGCTTTGCTTGTAAGTCTTTTACTTGCTTGCATTGCAAGTTTTTATGTGTTTTGCATTCTTTGAGTCTTTCATTTTTTAGAACCAGTTTTAGGTGTTCTTGTTTTTGTGTCTTGTGTGTTTTTATTGTTGATTTTGGTTCTTGTTCTTCATTTCCCTTGCATTACATTGTATGACTTGTGGGAGACCTAGTGAGCAAATACCAATTGACCAAGAGATTGAGAGAAACTTGAGGAGGATAAAAAAAGAGAAAATCCAATTGATAACTATCTTGTTTTAGAATCCTCCATGGCTGCTCCAAACCACAATATTGATCTTGCTCATTTAGGAATGCCTAGCGATTTTAACAATGACCCTAATGCTAACCTTAATGTCAATCCTATACTTTAAAGTCTTCAAAACCAAAATTTTTGGGTTGTTAACTAAGGGAATGGGGTAAATCTGGAGGCTCCAGCACCAATTCCACCTTTGAACAACACTTAAATCCATCCACCAAACCTAAGGAACAATGGAAACTTCATGCAAAATCATAACCATGCATTTAGGGAAGAAGTAGGCATGCATCATCCTCTAAATGATGAGATTTATATTAGGCAACTTACTTCTCCTAATTGGAATACTAATCCCTATGGTTTGTACATTCCTCAACATAATCATATGTTTGAGCTTAAACATTCTCTTGTTCAAGTATTACCTAAGCTTCATGGGCTGCGTGGTGAGGATTGTCATAGATTCTTGTATTCTTTATATCTTGTGTGCAATACCATGAAATCGATGGGTGCTCATTTAGATGATGTTCAAGCTAGGACTTTTGTGTTTTGTCTTGGGTCTCATGCTGAAGAGTGATGTATGAACTTTCCACCTCATGTTAAGGTACACACTTCGGAAGAGTTGAGAGACATGTTTTTGAATAAATTCTTTCCATCATCTAAGCTAGCTAACTTGAGAAAACAAATCATAAGCATGGTACAAAATTTTGATGAAAGTCTTTTTGAGTTTTGGAATAGATTCCAATCTATGCTAGCTAGATGTCCACATCATCAAATTCCAAGTGAGCATCTTATTTAATATTTCTATGATGGTCTCTTGCCAAAAGATAAAATGAGTCTAGATGCCGTATTTAATGGCTCCCTTAGTGATTTGTCTCCCAACAAAGCTTGGGAATTGATTAATAAAATGGCACAAAGTAGAGCTTAGTATAGGGTAAGGGAACCTAAAGTAGCTTTGGTTACTAATGGTTTGTTCAGCTCACAATTAGATAACCTTACATATAGAATTGGAAAGCTCATTTCACCACAAGTAAATGCAAATGCTAATTTAAGGAGTGTGTCTAATATCGGTGTTCCTTACAATGCTATGGTCCCTAGTTCTTTTTGTAACTATTCCATGCATAAGGAAGGTAATTGTCCTTTACAATATGAATAGGCTCATGAGTTGAATGCTATGTATAGGGCAAACAACCAAGGAGGAGGTCAATAAGGCATGTATGAGAACACATACAATTCAACTTGGAGAAATCATCCTAACTTGTCTTATGGTAATCCAAGTAGAGCCTTAAATCAAGAACACTAAAGAGGGGGATTTCAAAGATACTAAAACAATGATGACTCAATGTCATGTGGATAAGGTAGTGTCTCAAATTTTTATTAAGGCAAAGGTAATGGTTCCTACTCTCAACCACCTAGTTCTTCTAGGTAAATTGCACCTATTGATGGACCATCTTCTTCACCTTCTAATGCCAATAGCATGCTATCTAAAAATTTTGAGTTGTTATTAAATGAGGTTAAGAGTGATAGAGAAGCTCAACAAGATCAAAACAAAGCTACCAATAATGTAATGTCTTCCATAAAAAATGCTATAGAAGCTTTGTGTAAGCAAAGAAGTGTTTTAACTAACCATATTTCTTCTACTAATGCTCAACAACCTACTTTTCCTAGCTATACAGTTGTCAATCCTAAGTCTTCTATTAATGCTATTGAGCTTGGAAGCAAAAAAATGGTTAGTAAAAATGATGAAAATGAGCTTGTTGATAGAAAATTCAATTTTGGAAATTCTTGTCCAGCACCTCTTCTTTGTGATTTTAATGTTAATTCTTGCTCTAATTATGTTATTTCTTGTAGTAATGAAGATGAGGAAGGTGTGGAACAAGTCTACAGTGATCCCCCACCTCAAAAAGAGCCAAAAGAGCAAGAAAATCAAAGAAATCAAGGCCAAAATGCCACTGTACAGCAAAGATATGCTTTTGGATAGTAAGCACATGAGAAAGAAAAGGAGAACAAAGATTCACCAAGCCAAGAAATTGTGAGGAAATTGCCCTTCCCTTAAGCTTAAGCATCCAAATCACTAGCTCAAGCACCACAAGACCAAGAGGTAATGAATTTCTTTTCTAAAATTCAAGTGAACGTGCCTCTTTAAGATTTGATTAAGAACATTCCTAAATATGCAAAATTTCTCAAGGAGTGTTGCACTAATAAGGAAAATTTAAACCCAATGCTAGAGTCCTATCTTGAAGCCCCAGCTTCCCATAAAGTGTGAGGATCCTAGATCCTTCACTATCCCTTGCCAAATTAGGCCTTTTAAATTTTCTCATGCATTGATTGCTTTAGGTGAAACAATAAATGTGATGCCATCTTCCATTTATTCTTTATTAAAAATTGATTGTTTGCATGCCACTAACATGATTTGTTAATTGGCTGATAGAAGTGTTAGGAGACCTCAAGGAATTATTGAGGATTTGATTGTAAGTGTGAAAAATCTTCTATTTCTGGTTGACTTTTATGTTTTTGGATATGGCTAGCAAGGGAAATAGGGAGGATATACTTTTCTTGGGAAGGCCATTCATGAGAACTACAAGGACTCTTATAGATATACCCATGGGGACATTGGTGTTAAAGTGTGTTAATGAGAATGTTGGTTTTAGCATTTATGAAGCAATGATGCACCCTTATTAGGACTATTATTTTCTAGGTATTAATACTATTGATGGCATTATTGATGACTTCGTAACATCTAAAAACTTTAAATTGGAAAAAATTAATTAATTAAGGGATAAATTAGTTAAAAATATGATTGATTTATTTAATTATGTTTTTGGGTTGCTAATTGAATTTTTAGGTCATATTGGGCTCTAAATTGAGTTAGGATGAAAGTCGAGTCAAGTCAGGAGGCATCAAGGGGAGCAAAATCAACTTGTTGCTTGCTGCGTCGTGAGCTGTGGCTTGTGTGGCGTGCGCTGTGGTGCACGGCACGGCAGGCAACTTAAAATTTTGAAAATGATTAGAAAAAGTTAGTTTTTATGATGGGAAACCTAAAGCAAACCTAAAAAGTTTAGGCACTGCTAGGGTATCATTTTAGGAGGATTTTGATGATAAATTGAGCCTTTACACTCTTGAGTAATTTTCCTACCTTTCTCCTTTACCTTTTCATCTCATTTTCCATGAGATTTAGAAGAGTGAGCATTTGCTCTGAATGGATTAAGCCATGAGTCTATGTTTTAAAGGTTTCTATTAACTCTAAAGATTTGATTTAGGTTTATTAATCTTAGATATGTGATAATATGAAGCTACTTTATTGTTTGGTGAAAGTTGGATCAAGCCCTAACTTGATCATGGGGTTTTGAAGTATGATAAGTTGAGATCTTAAGTGTTATGTTGTGAGAGAGTTAGAGGGAGGCTTGAAGGGATTGTGTGAACAAATTCTAATCTTAACAAGCCTCTTATTGAGCAGTGGGAGAATTGGGAGGTTGTTGGTAGCTAATAGTGCTCGTGCTAATTAAAAATTAACATATAGTACTTGTTGATGTAGATTGTGGTGTGGGAAGACTTATTCACACAAGAAGAGATTTAGTACCACGGATAACCCTTTTAGTAATAAAAGGGTTGAGGTAACTAGATAATTTGCATCATTTATTACCTTGAATAAGTTATTCTCAAGTTGCTTTTCTATGATTTGTTGTGTATATATGTATAAATTTTGTTAAGGTTAACTATTTTAGAAAATGAGTAGAGTATTGGTTTGTGAAATTCTATGTTTTTGAAGTAAATGGTAAGATTTGTAATATTTATTTAGAAAGTGGTTTGTGCATGGTCAAGTAGAGATATGTAGTGAAATGTGGCATATTAGAGGGTAGGAGGTCACCCTAGTAAAGTTACTGAAGATTAAGTCCATATGGCATTACTGGCATCTCAGGATGTCAGGTGTAGCACTTACTCTCCTTAGTGCCAAAAAATGGGTGCGATATTGGAGACTTATTCTCCTTAGTACCTAAAAGGGTGTGGAGTTAGAGACTATATTCCTTAGCATCTATAGGATACGGTGTTAGAGTAACGACACCTCAATTACTTGTAATAGGGGGAACCAGTAGCCTAAAAGTGGTTTAAGACACCTTAGCTGATTAGTCCTATCATGGATGGTGAGCTTGGAAATCATACATGTGGTTTGATTTTGTGAAATGGCCTACCAGTTTAGTCGGGAGTATTGGAGGACTGGATGGTTAGGGATCATGCATATAACTTGTGGTGATCTTATATGGTGTGTTTATTTGACTTGATTTAAGGCTTGTTTATAATTTGGCATGTTAATCAATAATGTAGATTATCTTAATTATTTAGATTTTTATCTCACCCTGTGGTTATCATTTTATAGGTTCTACTAATGAGACTGAGCCAGGGAGGGAATCGGGAAAGGGCTAGCATACTTGCTACATTCTCATTGTAAAGCTTGATTTCTATTTGAGTCATGTACATATGATATGAATATATCATTTTAATTAATTGCACTTGTTTCATACTATGTTATTTTGTATTTTAGCCTAATATTGTATATGATGTGATATATGGCATTTTTTGTGGTGATGGGCTAAGATATTAATACAAGTGTAAGAAATGTTTTATCTATGTGGTGGCAATGCATATGTAATGTATTATGTGGCAATAGAGGCCAAATAGTGTATATGGTGTTAATTTGGTATTTTGGCCATATAGGGTGAAATGGCCATTAAGTAGCCAAATTTAGTGTTTGGTATATTTTTGTGTGTTTGAATGCTCACTCAAGTGTATTTTAGTCCATTGGACTTGGTTCAAATCTCATAATGGGTTAATGGTAAAATTTATGAGTTTTGGGTACTTAGATGCTTGAAGATCGCTTTAAAAACTGACTTTTGCATCTGAGCATCTAAAATTATCATATGGTGTCAGATCGTAATGAAACTTGTACCATTAGTTAGCTTATTGAATAAGTTTCATGTGGGCACTTGAATCACTCCAATCAGACATCAGATATGAAAATGGCATGCGTTCGAAGTTCATCCAGAAAAGCTATCATGATAGCATTACTGTCATGGACACGTGCGTCGCAGCGCATTTTGTGCAAGCCATGACACATGGTACAACGAGAAAACTTGCTGTCTATGCCACATGCTATGGCGCATGGACCACGAGCCATGGAGCATGGACCAAAACACTTAAAAATGACATTTTTGGCTCTATTTTAAAGTGTTTTGCTTCTCAAAACTTTTCCATACTTTCAATACCTTTATAAATCATTAAGTTTGAGCTCAAACTATAAATTTGAAGGGTTTTTATGGGATCCCAAATATTTAACAATTATTTTTAAAAGATTATTAGTTTTAACCCTTATATCTATAATGTGAGATTAAGAGCAAATCCTTGCTCCTAATTATGATTGTTGTTGTGATTGTGTAGTGAATTTTGGTAATGTCAATGTGGACATTACAAACTTAGTAAATGAACATGCTTTATCTTTGCCTCTTTCATGTGATACTTTGTCATCTACTCTTACACCTAGCATGGTTTGTTCTTGTAAGGCTGTTATTTTTTGTGTTAATTGTGGAAGAATTGCTTTTAAATTGCTTGATAAAGATTCTCCTTTGGACTTTCTTTTATGGATAGTTGTGATTTATTTTTTTGATTTCTATGTTTGATCATGGGAAAGGTATTTCTCCTTGTTTTGTAGGTTCCAAAGACACAGGGCAACCATTCTTGTCTTGATGTTCTTAAGATTCCCAAGCATAAGGATGGAAGCTTAT